CGGTCAGTTTCAGCAGTGGCTGAATCTGGACGCCAGTTCCGACTTACATACAGATTCAACTTAAGAACAAACCTACAGTCCCTATCTTGTACGTAACCCGGGAACTGCCTGTATAGAACCTCCATTTCCCAAAAGTCTCCTCCGTTCCTAATATATCTAAACCTTTCTATACTGCACCATCCTCTCATCCACACACTGAAACCCCAGTTTCAGCAGTGGCTGAATCTGGACGCCAGTTCCGACTTACATACAGATTCAACTTAAGAACAAACCTACAGTCCCTATCTTGTACGTAACCCGGGAACTGCCTGTATAGAACCTCCATTTCCCAAAAGTCTCCTCCGTTCCTAATATATCTAAACCTTTCTATACTGCACCATCCTCTCATCCACACACTGAAACCCTGCAGTTCTGCCTGTCTACCTGGCCCTGTGCGTGGAACTGGAAGCATTTCAGAGAACGCTACTATGAAGGTCCTGGATTTCAGTCTCTTATCTAGCAGCCTAAATTTGGCCTCCAAGACCTCTCTTCTGTCCTTTCCTATGTCACTGGTAATCACATGTACCATGATCACCAGCTCCTTCCCAGCACTACACAAGTCTATCTAGATGTCTCAAGAGAGCCACAACCTTTGTGCCAAGCAGGTAAGTTGAAACAAATTGAGACCTGATCCTACCATTACCATAAAAGGGATGACTTAGGAAGTAGTAATGAATGGCAAGAGATACAAAATAGGTGATTATAACTTTAAGCATCTGGAATCAAGCAGCTGCTTTGCATTCAGATTCTGTAAAAGCTTTCTAGTTTGCATCAGTTATACAACTCAGTCCAAAGCTGATACATGAGTCAGGACTGCACAGGGTGTGGTAGGCAAAACACTGCTTAATGAAATGAAGATACAGCAAATTCTCTCTGCTACCAGAGATTCCTACTCTTTAACCTCAGAAAAAGAATTATGAAGTGCCATTTCTTGGGATGCCATTTAGCAAAACTTCCAGACTCTTCTATAGCCGTGTAATACCCTGGCAGCACTTCATATCAAATAAAAGGTATCAACAAGACCAAATTTGAACAGTGTGTCCACTTGTGCATCTATTTGGTTAAGTTACCACCAATTTACCATGAAGTGCTTAATATTTTTACATCTGACCGGGTGAGATGTATTAGTATGTTAGGACAAGTCTACACTAGACCTGGAAGGTTAGCTTAAGGTATGCAACTCTAGCTATGTAGAATATGTAGCTGGAGTTGGCTTACCTTAAGCCAAGCTTAGTGGCGTTCCCACAGCAGAAGGCTGACGGAAGCAAACACTCCTGTTGGCTTCCCTTACTCCTCGCAACTGTGAGGAGTACTGGCGCTGGCTAGAGCTGCCCTCAGCATTTGATTTACGGGTTTTAGCTAGACCTGCTAAGTCTAACATCAGAAGGTTGACCTCTGGAGCAGCAAGTGAAGACACGCCCTTTTTCTTCTTGAAAGCAGGTATTTTTCCAGTGTTGGGGGTGCAATTTATAATTTTAGGTTGAAATCAATACCACATTCAGAGTGTAAACGTTGGCGGCATTTTCAAAGGCAGCCTTGTAAATGCAGCACACTGCACGACTGTTAAACATGCACATTACACTGGACTTTCTAGGAGAGGGTAAAGCAAGGATCAGCTCCTATATGCAGCACTGGAGGCTTTGCTAAAAAAGGGCTACAGTGTAGACTAGTGTGTCTCACCCACAGCATCACGGAAGAAGAATTTTTGGCCTGAGCACACGGGACGAAAAATTAAATGAGATCACGTTAAAGCATGAAACAGTGAGATATGAATAATTACTTAAACATACCTTAAGGGAAAAAAAGAAACTAGCCATTATCACAGAATTGCTACTGTGAGGAGTTTGGTTGCAATATACGGCAATAACTAGGCCCATTAATCTGTAACTACATGAAAAACTTGGGTTTATTTATTCCATTTATTTATAGGATTCTATAAATTGACATTTTCACCCACTGGGAATGGAGATAAAGAGGACAATACATTTAAATTTCAGGCACACTCCATGCTCAGAAGTCAATGTGAGTGAATTGGAATCAACTTCTGCAAATACCAGTTTGCCTAGCCTTTTTTGCCACGAGGATGACAAGTCTTTAAAGCTTAAAGTCCAGCTCTGCTCTGAAAAGAAACAAAATTAAATTCAAACTAACAGCCAAAGTGCACAGCAAAGAAAAGCTGTTGGGGGAAAAAAGTGCAAAAGGACACCAGAAAATGCTGAACAAAATGCCTGATGGAATGTTTTACATGGTCCCAAGATGCAGCGCTCTTTGTTCCATGGTCCCAACACCTAGTAACAGATGGTGTTGCCAGGCACTGTTAGATTCATACCCATAGTGCATTGCTCCCGCTGTCGATGAGGAAAATCCCAATGTGAACACGAACCATCGACAGAGTGGGCAAGTGAGAACACATATTAGTGACTTTGCCGTTGTCGATTTCTATGTGTTGACATTTATTTTCCTCAACAAAATTTGGCAATGTAGACATACCTTTAGATTAGTGCACAGAAAATGCAATCATTTAAGTGGATCTAAATCACGCATTAAAAAAAACATTTTCCACAGTGGAGCTATCATTTAAAAAAATATATTCCTTTAAAAATACAGTTCCGTGATTATTATTAGAAAAAGAATGAACTAGTGACCTAAAAAGGGAAAGGAAATGAAGTTTACCAAGCACAGTAGGAACCAAATCGTTTGGTCCATCATTGAATGAATGAAGATTACTTGGGGAGAAATTCAGGCTTCTTGCAACTTCTTCTAAATTTTTTTATTCCCCTGGAGTGAAAATGGCAAATCTGAGCTTTGGTAATAAGGGTGAATTCCCAGACCTCACAAGTTACTTCAGGAAATTAACATAAAATATTTCTACCAAAGGAAAGAAAAGCAAAGTTTCTATATTTTACATAAATTCTTCTAAATTAAGTTTCAAAAGGATCTAAGTAGCATTAGAAAGGAAACAAGAAGTCTTTACCTTTGTCAACTACATCCCAGACTTCAACCTTTACGATATCATCAGTGGCTAGAAATTGAATGAAAACACAAAATTTTAGAAAGGAGGATTTGGGGAGAAAGAAAGAAAAACAGAGTATCTAAGTGCAAATAAAAAGCCTTAAAAATCCCACAGCATCCCCTCTCTGATGTACTTCAAATGCCATTCTCTAAGGAACTCCTTGAAAATCCCTGGTGACAGAAGTGACACTTGGACAATTTTTTTTAATTAAGTTGCAAATTTGGAACATTTCTTCAGGAGATCTTCAAAACCCCACTTGGATTCTTTTCTGTACCATACAGAGAGCTGCCACATTCTTCTTTAAGACTACAAGCTAATTAAATTCCGAGAACAAAAACTGGTTTGTAACAAAAACAAAATACAGGTCTATGTAGCACTTTAAAGACTAACAAGATGGTTTATTAGATGATGGTTTGTAACAAGTATCTGTGGTACAAAACTTCAGGAAAGGTATTCTAAGCGAGATCAACTTTACTAACATTTTAAAATCCTCATACAAATGCACCAAACAGGAATTGAAAATAAAACAATAAAACATAAAACAAGTCACACACAAGGTCTGTTATTGTGCAAGCTTCAAGTCACATTATCTATTCTTCTGACAAAATAAGTTTTTACTCTGGAAAGCACAACAAACCCAACAGGTATAAAAGAATAAGATTTATGAACTAAGTTCCAGTTGTAGAAATTTTATCACTGATGATGCATGATCCAGAAACAGCTCAGCTTTGTTGTGCAGGAAAAGCAGTTAGCTGTATTTTTACTCAGTCTGAGTAACTGATATGATGCCATATTTAAGACAGACACTGACTACATACCTTAGTTAGAGAGCTGCTTTTCAGAATAGTGCCACACTAGGGACTAAAACAACAATTTGTACTGGCAATCCCTATAGGCCCACAGCAATTGAGCCAAGATGGAGCAATTGAGCACAGAGGCTCAAGGAAAAAAACATTTCCCTAACACACTGAGATAGAATTTCAACCTCTCTCATCTTCATCACTAAATAGTAGCAACAGTAACCTAATTCCAGTATGCAGTAGGGATGTAAATCCCCTTTTCATTAAACTTAACGTTTAACTAATTAATTAACGGGTTAACTGATCAAATGGAGTTGGATGAGAACTGGGGGCCATTCCAGCCCAGCTGCTTCAGACCCGGAGCTAGGCTGCCACCTCCCAGCACATACGAGCCTCACATGGGGCTGAAAGCAACAGCAAGGATGTGGGAGGTGGGGATGCTGGCTCCCAGTCCATGAGGGCTTGCAGGCTGGGCATCACCACCCTCCTGTGGGTGGAAAGGAATCGGCAGTCCCCCCTCCCCACCACCACCACTGCCAGCCCCCTTCTACCTCACAAGGCTGACAACTCCTAGTCTGGCAAGGAGTTCCACTGGTTGACTACACGCTCTGTGAAGAACTTTCTTTTATTAGTTTTAAACCTGCTACCCATTAATTTCATTTGGTGTCCTCTAGTTCTTCTATTATGGGAACTAATACAGAACTTTTCTTTATTCGCCATCTCCACACCACTCATGATTTTATAGACCTCTATCATATCCCCCCTCAGTCTCCTCTTTTCTAAACTGAAAAGTCCGAGACGTTTTAACCTCTCTTCATATGGGACCCATTCCAACCCCCTAATCATTTTAGTTGCCCTTTTCTGAACCCTTTCCAAGGCCAAAATATCTTTTTTTGAGGTGAGGAGACCACATCTGTACACAGTATTCAAGATGTGAGCGTACCATAGTTTTATACAGGGGCAGTAAGATATTCTGGGTCTTATTTTCTATCCCTTTCTTAATAATTCCTAGCATCCTATTTGCCTTTTTGACCGCCGCTGAACACTGTGTGGAAGTTTTCAGAGAACTGTCCACGATAACTCCAAGATCTCTTTCCTGATTTGTCATAGCCAAATTAGCCCCCATCATTCTGTACGTATAGTTGGGGTTATTTTTCCCCGATGTGAATTACTTTACACTTATCCACATTAAATTTCATTTGCCATTTTGTTGCCCAATCACTCAGTTTGGTGAGATCTTCTTGGAGTCCCTCACAGTCCACTTTTGTCTTGACTATCCTAAACAGTTTGGTATCATCCCTCCCAGTGGCCAGACACCATCCAGCACCCTGTCCCTGGCCAGACCCCCACCAGCACCCATGCCTTGCCCCCTGGCCCAACCCCCACTAGCACCCAGGCCGCAGGCCAGACACTCACCAGGACCCTGTTGCTGCTCCCTGGCCAGACTCCCACCAGCATCCTACTCTTTTCCCCTCCCTCCTGGCCAGACACCTACCCCCAGCTTGCTATTTTCCCCCAGATTTTGAAGCCCCATCTGTATTCCACTTACTGGAAACCCTGTCCCGCACACTGGTTCCCTCATTTTTGGCCCCACAAAATCTTCTAACCCTGGAACCCCAAAAGTGTTAATCTGGCCTGAGGCCTTGAACTTCAGTCCTACCTACCCCCCCCCCCCCCACCGCGGCGGCCGCCTAAGCGGGGGGGGGCA